CCTTGGGCAACACAATGCAGAGGATAGAGTAGACTTTTCTGCTCCCCTTTTAGTCCATACATCTATGACTATGTAAAACTAGTGTTTTTTAGCAAATGTGTCAGCCCTTTCGAGTCAGTAGCAGTGTGCTTCCCTTCAGAGGAGTCACCCTGGAGAACTGTATACTTATTCTAGTAATGGTGCTCTTGCTCAGAACATTCTGAGATATTTTTTGACAATACCTTAAGAGATTGTGGCCTGTTCATTTGAATATTCCCAATGGTGGCAAACCTTCATCCACTGAAAATAGATATTATTTTTGGAAAAAATAGAATATGGAATTTGGAATGGGTAATGCCATTTGGGGCAGAAAAAGCAGCATTTAAAATTTGAACAGTAATAACACCTTGCATTTGTCGAGTGTAGAGTGTTCTATCTTTTCCAAAGTACTTTCACATCCATTATGTCATTTATTGTTACTTTTACAATGGTTTTATAAACCAGGTAGTCTTTATCACTACAACAACACTAAGTATCGTGGTAAGGTTGTCTCCCATGTTACAGACCTCTGACATGGCAGAATAGACACTTGAGATCTAGTTTTCTGACTCCATGTTCTATATACTTTGCACTAACACTGCAATGTGATGAGACTAATTTCCTTGGTACTGGAAAACAGTTTCAAACATACTTTAAGCAGGGACATTGCAGGAATAAATTTATACCCTTCTAAGGTGAATACTTGGAACAAACTTATTTAGATTATCCAGGCTATGTATATTTGTCAAACTGTTTTACTGCTTAATGGCAAACTCTTTTGACTGTTGCCTTCTTAGTTGGAGCAAAAAACCCCACAGTGTTCATTGAGTCTTTCTTCTGGTTGCTGAATAAAAGTATAACTAGAACTTTACCTTAGTTATCATTTGTCTACCTTAGTGTCTGCTAGGAATTCTCAGATAAGGTCTGGGGCAGTAGCCCCAAAAGAGCTATGAAAGGGATTAGGGAGAAACCACATTTTTCTTAATTCTTGTTCCATGCTCTTAAATAAAAATGGTCTTTTATACTATTTTGATGTCTTATCAAAGTTTCTGTACTAAAATATTTTTTAATTGAAATGTCATTTGATTTTCAGCGTGGCTTTGTGACAGGTGGTGCAGATAAAGCTGTCAAGTTCTGGGATTTTGAGTTGGTGAAAGATGAAAGTAGTACCCAAAAGAGGTGAGTAAACATTTTTTGTGTCCTTTTTTTTGGAGTGAAAGTGGGGAAGCACCGAATGGACTTTTGACGTGTATATTTCTGTTGAGCTCCAGAGAGTTTTTGGAATTTTTGCCTCTGTAGAATACTCATTATTTTTTCTTGACGCTTTCTGTGATGCTAGACTTACTGTGAAGCAAACCCGAACCTTGCAACTAGACGAAGATGTTCTGTGTGTCAGTTACTCTCCCAATCAAAAGCTGCTGGCTGTGTCTTTGCTGGACTGTACAGTGAAAATTTTCTATGTTGACACTTTAAAGGTACAGTGGTCACTCCTGGGAATATTTTCTTTGTTTGTTTCTGACTGACCTTGAGTTGAGACTGTAAAGTGGCCTTGACTGTGCCCAGCAGTAGTATGTTTCTAAAAATTTGTGAGTGAATCAAGACATTGTAGGGGCACTAGGAAAACTAGAGTTTTACAAGAATCCTTTGGTCCAATTTTTTTGAATTTTGTTTAAAGCAAGTTATATTTCATGTGTTCAGAAAATCTGTGAACAGAAACTTTTATCATAGCCAGTAGTTCTAAGAGCATTGCTGGATGTCCTGGGCAGTGATTCTACACTTGGCTGTACATCAGGGTCATTTGGGTTGCTTTTAAAAATATGGATTACTGGGCCCTTTGCCCAGAGAGTCAGTAGGACTGGATTGAGCCTGGGAATATTGTGAAGCAAGTGTGCCAGAGTCTTTTCAGTAAGAGATCCAGAGAGCATCTCTGCCATATTCTGAGTGGGGCGGTAGGCTTCCGGGACATCGCTGGCGCCACTTGTTGCAGTGTTCTTGGCAAGTGCGTGCAGGGTCTGTATGCTAGACATAGGTTCAAGCTGCCTTCACTGGTTTGTTGTCTCTTTGAAAATACAGACATAAAGCAATCCAGGACAGTTTTTAGCATTGTATTTTAAAGTTATGTTTTAGATCCACATGTAATAAATTATGCTATATTTTATACACGGACATGACTGACTTATATATATATTTTTTAATGTGTAGTTTTTTCTCTCGCTATATGGACACAAACTGCCTGTTATATGCATGGACATCTCTTATGTAAGTAAAATTTAAATAGTGTGTCAGTAACAGGTTGTCTTTTCTAACGCACTTTCTTAGTTCTTGTCTGGATATCTTCATTTTAGAGTATTTATTTTTTCATTCTGTTGTATATCTGACTTTCTCCAAAAAAAAAACCTCGTGAAGTAATATATATTATAATCACATCTTAAATATAAACATGTATTACTTTAATGCTTTCAGAATATTTTCACAAATATCTGAATTAATCCTCATAACTAACTCCCTGTTGTGGATTCCCCAAATAGTATTTTGTTGTCTAAAATACTGTAATTGGTAGAGCACCCTAAAATATGAAAGACTTTAAAAAAAAGCATCCCCTTTTATTCTGAAGGATAATATTGGTAAGGAAGATGGAACTTGGCTTTATATTTGGATATTTACGATATTTTGAACTACATATACTTTTAGTCTCTTAACCAAAATCATATTTTTGCAGTGTCTAGTTATATATTTAGAAACAGCGGCATCCAGGTGAAAGGAATTGGCCCTCTGCTTTAGCTGTCTGGGATCAGTGCATTCACAGAATAAGTTGGTGTTAAAAAATATTTCAGATTTTCTTGTTATTTTGATAACCATTTGAACTAGGCATTGAAATAGAAAGAATAAGAGAAATAGTAATAGGGAACAGGAGATAAAAGTCTAAGTCATAAACATTCTAGTAGATTCTTTCCCAGCCTCACTTTTTCCTTTTCTTGCCTTCTTCCTCTCTCCCCCCAAATCTTATGACAGAGATTTTTTTTTTTTTTCCCCTATCTGTTTAACAAAGTAAATAGATAACCTACATCCAGGCACAACACTATCCTTGGAGCAGTACGAAAACATTTAAGCCACCGAGTTCTTGCTTTCACTTAAGAAGCTTTTAAAGTAAATCTGTAGGCAAAAGCAAAGAAGTAGGTGCTTTTGGTAGAGAGATGAAATTAATTTTTTGGCATTGATTTTAATGTTTTTGAAAGCAATGGGTTAAATGTTCTGGTTAGCTTTTCTTTATTCAATTTACAGAATTTCAGATAATCAAGTGGTGTTTTACCTGTCTTCCTCATAGGATGGAGCACTAATAGCAACTGGCTCTGCTGACAGGAATGTGAAAATCTGGGGTTTGGACTTTGGGGACTGCCACAAGTCTCTCTTTGCACATGATGACAGGTAGGTGCAGTCTTTTCTGGGACCTCCCTTTGAGTCACCTGTAAGTATCATCTCCCTTGAGCATCGTGTTTATTATTTAGTATTCTCAGTCATAAATTGAAAGTTCTACATGTAAATAATCAGACAGTCTAGAACTAGCTGTCCAGAAGCTATTTATGTGCATAAGGCTCTTTCTAATAATGTGGAATTGGATGACATTTGAATATTTCTCTCCCTTTTTAGTGTGATGTACCTACGGTTTGTACCCAAGTCTCACCTCTTCTTCACTGCTGGGAAAGACCGTAAGATTAAGCAGTGGGATGCGGACAAATTTGAACACATACAAACCCTGGAGGTAACCTCTTGCGTGCTTTGCTTGCTCAGTACTTAACTACTTTTTAAGATTGAGTGTTGATCCCCCACTAATGTAAGCAGATGGCTGTCTATGAGTAAGGTGTTCTTACTCAGGCTTTTTGTTTCTGTTTTTTCTCTCTCCAGGGGCACCACCAGGAAATATGGTGTTTGGCTGTAAGCCCCAGTGGAGACTATGTTGTGTCATCGTCCCATGACAAATCTCTGAGACTTTGGGAGAGAACAAGGGAGCCTCTTATTCTTGAGGAAGAAAGGGAGATGGTGAGGACTTTAGGCTTGGTTACAAATGTGCTGGTGGGTGTGTGACATGCTGTCCCAGGTGAAGTCTGTCCAGTGCAGTCACACCTCAGTTGGTGCAGGTCCAAGAACCTCCAGGAGAAGTTTCCAAGACGACTGTCACCATTTCTGCAGTTAGGCGGAGACAGAGATGCCATTAAGGGATTGTATTTTGAAACAAGCAGATTCTCACTGTCTCATTTCACTTCATGTGCAGACCATGTATTTTCTTTTAAATTAATTTATATCTATCTCTTGGCAGCAAAGGGAAGCAGAATATGAGGAGAGTGTGGCCAAAGAAGACCAACCAGCAGTAAGTAAATCTTTTGGGACCCCGAGATTGTGCTCTGTAATTATCTTATTGGGATTTACTGTAATTTTAAGAATTTCTAACGGAATCAGAACTGGGGCTACATGCTGAAGTCATCACCAGCTGATAAGGGAGGGAATCTGTGTGGTCCTTTTAAATTCAGCAATATATCCTGATTTTATGGGATAAATGATTGACCAAATTTAGTATTGAAGATTGTCATTCTGCCTTTTTTTTTTTAAGGAGGTTTCAGGGAATTATTTCATTCCAAAATGAAATAATTTTCAAGAATGAAAATCAAAAGATTTGAGAAGTTGGGCATTCTCTTTAAACATTTGTAGAGCAGGATATTCTTATGATAACATATATAAAACGGTTAACATGGTGTCTGACTTACTAAGTACTCAATTAGTCGTAGCTGATAATACCGTCTTCTCATTGTCATAACACAGTAATGCCTGTTCTTTTATGGATATAAGATTAATTTATTGGCTTTTTAATGCCTGTCAATGATATTTTTCAAAGATCTCTCTGTTTCTGACAGGTTCCAGGAGAGACTCAAGGTGACAATTACTTTACTGGAAAGAAAACTATTGAAACGGTCAAAGCAGTAAGTTGATATAGAATATAGTATCTCATTTTTCAGTAGCATCCCGACTTTTTATTAAAAGCCTTTATCAACCAAATAGCCGTTTTGTGGGAAAAATTTCATGAAATTTATAGATGGGGATCATAACCTATGTTTTCCTCCCTTGTAACCAAGGACAAGAGTAGTGCTGAATCTGTTTAATCAGTACATGGTTTCTAGAAAGGAAAGCTTGATCTCCTGAAAGTAGCACCTTTCAAGTGTTGCTGGGAGCTGCTCTCAAGGTGTCCACATATGGTCTTACCTGAATCCGTGACACATAGTCTCCTCCCTGTAAATTAAAGAAAAAGAAAAGAAAAACCAAAGACGTCTTTAAATGCTGTTGGCATTCTGTTGGCACATCTTTATTAAACTGACTCAAGCTATTTTATTTGGTAAATTTCTAGTCAGACCTTCCAGTTGCAGTGTTGTGGTATGATGGAGTGCGTTGTGATGATTTCTGTCCTTTATCGCCATCTGTGTAGGCTGAGAGGATCATGGAGGCTGTTGAGCTATACCGAGAAGAAACTGCGAAAATGAAAGAACACAAAGCCATTTGTAAAGCTGCAGGGAAGGAGGTAGGACAGTCCATTAAGTTCTCTCTGGGAAACATTTGTAAATAGAGACAATTCCTGAGAAGAAAACCACTGTTTCAGGATTTATTAACTCAGATCAGGAAATGAGATAAATGTAACAGAATTTTTTCTAATTCAGATATTAGAAAGCAGGAATTAAGGAACTGGGAGGAAGGAAGCTTGGTCTTAATAAAAAGAGAAGGATGGGAAATTATAGATTGAGGTGATTATTGTATTGAGTAGAAACTCATGCTCCTACTTTGGTTTGGGAGACAGGGTAACCATTTCAGATTTCTAGATGAAATGTATTGCCCAAACTCATTCGTAAGCACAATAGAAACTAAAAGGCCTGATAATTCTTGTATACTCTTTCAGTTTTTAGGGTCTCTATTTTCTCTTTTCAAAATGTAAAATACTGTTATCACCATACCTGTGAAGAGCACTATCAAAGTCCTGTTTTTTAATGACTTGATTTAATAATTTCTTCATAGGTTCCTCATCCCATCAACCCCATCTTGATGGCTTATGGCAATATTTCTGTGAGTAGAATGTCTAACAGTTTCCCCTTGGTCATTCAAAGGTTACTTCAAGGACAAGAGAGGAAGTGAAGAGGCATTATGATTTGAGAATGGATGCACTGGGAAATACTTGTCTTTAAAAATCTCTCTTGAATGGTGGAATCCTCTAGGATATTTTGTATTTCAAAAGGACGATTTTAGTGTACCTTTCAATTCAGCTTTTTTGGTTGGACTGAACTGGCATTCTTCTATTTTCTAGTGCTTATTTATGTTCAGTATCCAAAGCCCTCTGAAGATTCTGTTCATTTAAATGAACTTTGAAATTGAAGGTTTTAGAGGAAAAGTTGACATAAATCAGTCAGAGAAGGGAGGAGAGAGAGTGAGTAGTGGAAGAACGAATGCATATCTAGCAATCTCAGATTACTTAGTGCTTTATGTGTATGTCTCATTCATCCCAATAATCATGAGTCAGTGCATCTTCATTTTATAAATAGGAAACTGGCCTGACTTCTAGATAGAAGGTAGCATAGTTGGTAAGTGGCACAGCTGGATTATCAACCCAGATATGACTAACTCAAAGCCCATGGATGTCTTGCCATTTTTGAACAGTTTCTTAAGTGAGGGGGAGGTGTCCCTGTTTTTAGGAGATGGAAACTAGAGAGCTTCAGTAGAAACCAGCCAAGAGTATCACTCATGCTGTTATGCTTCCTTTATAGCCTTCAGCTTATGTGTTGGAGATTTTTAAAGGAATCAAGTCAAGGTGAGTCCCAGTGCACAGTGATTATAATTTGTCTGCTAACATTTATCGAATGCTTGTCTAAACATGAAATAAATATAAATTATAATTGACAGTTATCTTCCTTATAGGTTTAACTATGGCAAAATTTTGATGGAAAATAATTCGTTATAATGTTCTTTTGAAGGTAGAATAGGAAGCTCTTCCTGAAGTGTGAAGGGAGATGCTTTCAAGGACAAAGGCAGGATAGAGCTACTTTACATTGTAGGTAATGAATTAATCTGTAATTCAGTCAGAAGTACCAAATCGAAACATTCATGTTGTGTGTTCCTTTGGCTTATTTTCTGTGTACATACACAATTGGAATCGTACTGTTTGTATCCTGTTCTTTTTTACAGAATATTTCCTGAGCCTTTGCTCGAGTTATTGATATTCTTCAAAAAACATATTATTGAATTCACAATATTCCATTGTATGAATAATTACTACTGGATGTTGCTTTTTGTTTTTTGCTATTATCAATCCTGCTTCAGTGAACACCTTATTATATAAATCTTTGTCATTGTTATCATTTTTCTTAAGACGAGTCCTGGCAGTCTAATAACTGATCAATGGGCATGAGCTTTTAAAGGCTTATGTTGCTGAATTACTTTCGAGAGTGCTTGTACTGATTTTTACCAGGCTTTTAAAAATTCTTTGCCAGTTTGAGAGGCAGAAGGTGATATGTATTATTTTCATTTCTTTTGATTATTAATGAAATTAAAATTTTATCATATTTGTTGGCCAATTATATTTTTTCCCTTGAATTTCAAGTTTACTTTCCCTTTCTTCTACTCTTTAGTAGTTTCTCTTACTGGTTTTTAAGAATTCTTTATATCTGTTGTCATATATTTTTGGAATAATTTTTCTTGTTTGTGATTTACCTTTTGATTTTATTTATGATTTTTTGTGTGTGCATGTGAAGAAGATTAACCCTGAGCTAATATCTGTTACCAGTCCTCCTCTTTTTGCTGAGGAAGATTGGCCCTGAGCTAACTAACATCTGTCCCCATCTTCCTCTACTTTATATGTGGGACACCCGCCACAGAATGGCTTGATAAGCGGTGCACAGGTCCGCGCCCAGGATCCAAACCTGCAAACCCTGGGCTGCCAAAGCAGAGCGCACGAATTTAACCACTATGCCACCAGGCCGGCCCCTGTTTATGATTTTGACCTACTGAAAGTTATTCTTTTTTCATAACAAATCTCAGTATCTAAATATATGCCTTGCAAGAAATAAACAGGACCTATCTGAGGATAATGATGAAACTTCACTAGAGATTGTAGAGGAAAATTTAAATCAATGGAGGTACTATGCATTCCTAGATGGGAGGATTCTGTGTTTTAAAGATTTAGTTTTTCTTAAACTAATTTATAGGTTTGTGATCCCAGTTGAAATCCTCTTGAGATTTCTAATTGGAATTGATGAAACGATACTAGAACTAGTTCAAGAAAAGTAAAACAAACTAAACCAGAACAAGAGGGAGCTATTCTAGATTAAAAAGCTACAAAATTAAAATAGGCAGGATTGTTGTCAGAATCGATCGATCATCAAAACAGACTTGAAAGCCCTGAAACAGACTCTTATCAATAAGGACTCAGTATGTGGTAAAAGAAGTATCATATGATGATGGAAAATTCAACAAAAAACTTTGGAGATTGGTTATCTGGAAGAAAAAGAGTTAGATTCTTCTACCATGCCATGGGCCAAAATGCATCACGTGGATTAAAATGTTAACTATAAAAAAACATTGAAAAGAGAACCATCTAGAATATAAATGAATATTCAATTTAACTCTGAATGGATAATATCTATTCAAGTAGAAGAGAAGTAGAAAAAATAGCGGAAAAGATTTAAAAATTGACCATGTTAAGAAATGTGGCATTTTTAATGTTAATTTTTTTTCTTCTTCAGTGAGCTGGAAGAATCTCTGCTTGTGCTGCCTTTCTCTTACGTCCCAGACATTCTTAAGCTCTTTAACGAATTCATCCAGCTGGGCTCTGATGTTGAACTTCTGTGCCGATGCCTCTTCTTTCTCCTCAGGTAACATCCCTTTGCGCAGAATCCCATGTCTACTCAGCAGAGCTGCTCTAGTCCTATAACTGAAGGTCTCAATGCTTTGAGATTAAGAAAGCTAATAATGTATCAGATTCAGAGACTGTTACAGAATTTCATTGCTGCCTGACATAAATTATTTCTTATCTTTTGGAATTAGTCTTGCCCTTAAAACAAGGGTAGTGATGGCCTACCTCTTTCATGTGAGACAATCCATTGCTTAGGAATGTGTAATCAGGCACAGGTCTCCAGGTTGGCGGCTAACATGGTAGCTCTGGTTCCAGTCAGTTCACTAAGAGCCCATTACTGAGTGGCCAGTTTGCCTCATTTGTTTCTTTTTCACTGTTTAGTTTAAGCAAAATGGTTTTGTTTTGTCCTCATAACAGCATTTTAAGGAATAGTGGATTTATTTTCCAGGTCTCTAATGGTACGAATGGAAAAGTAAGGGCATATATAGAGGGAATTAGAAACATAAAGAAAATATGTTCATTAGACTGTATTTTTACATATGAAGAATTCTTGTTATTATGTAATTGAGAAGAATGTATTTACAAAGGCTTAAGAATAGATTCTTCTTATCTCTCAGTCTCTGCCCCTCGTTTTCAAGCTGTTGTAGCTGGGAACAGGAGTGGAGACCAATTGAACATTCCTTAAAATGCTGTTATGAAGACAAAATAAAAACTGGTCAGCCAATACCAAATAGTTGAAAAAAAAAAAACAGGTATATTGAGTGAATTGGCATTTGGTGAATTGGCCTGTTTTCATGATTCTTAACCCTGCATTCCTTTTATGCTATCAGTGTAATAGCAAAAGAAGAACAATGATATGTTAATATTATGCTGTGGTCATATTTATACTTTTGAGCAAGGTGTGAGGACATAAATTCATCCTCAACAATATTACTAACAATTTCTTATTGCTATGGCGTATGTGCTGTTGAATCAGGGTTACTGGTCCTAAGAGAAACACCATGAATACTTCTAACATATCAGAGGGTTGTAGATGGTTACTGCCTCACAGGTAGATATGGCAAGTCACAATTGAGGGTGGGGGTGAACGTGGAGATTAAAGGAGCGTTGTTTCACCAAGGGCATCTTGGTACTCCAGGTCAGAGTCTGGCTCTCTGGTTGATGATTACCTCTTTTTTGCTGTAGTTTCATTAGAAATATTAATAAATCTTTGTTGAGTTAGCATTTCTTAGAAGGTTCATTTTCTCACTGAGCTTCCCATAAAATACCACTGTCAAAATCTATGGCGACCTGGTAGATTGCTCTGAAGAGTCAGGTTTGCAAATGAGTTGAATGTGTCATAATTCAGGATAATATTTTAAAAATTGTCATCAGAATGAACTGAACAGTAGAGAAGGAACTTTTTTTTTCTTTTTTGAGGAAGATTGGCCCTGAGCTAACATCTGTTGCCAATCTTCCTCCTTTTTTCCTTTTTTCTCCCCAAAGCCCCAGTAGATAATTGTATGTCACAGTTGTACATCCTTCTAGTTGCTCTATATGGGATGCCGCCTCAGCATGGCTTGATGAGTGGTGCGTAGGTCCATGCCAAGGCCCAAGGTGAACCCTGGGCCACCAAAGTGGAACATGTGAACTTAC